GCTTTGACCCTGGTGTAATCAGCATCATCAGACCTGGAGAGCACAAACAGCGTCATGGTGGCCATAAACAGCGTCATGGTGGCCATAAACAGCGAGAATGTTGCGTTGTTCGATTGACCTCCTGCACTTTATTGATAGATGCCGTCTGAGGCTGTTTGCAGAACTGAACATCAATCAGTGTAAACTCACATACATACGGGCAGCAAACAAAGGCTTTGGCATATATTCATTACCTTACTAATAACAGCACAGTTGGTGTTCAGGTGTAAATAGGCAGGAGAGACGAAGCAGCAGTTTGTTTGACTGAGCAAGTTGAAAATTCTGCTATTGTGCATCATAAACAGAGAGATTATAATACGGTTCCAGTTATAAGACACGACTGTAAAATGAGAATAAATCATGCTTCAAGCGACCTTTAACCTTTAACCTTCTGGGTCCCTTCAATTGTTTTTTGTGTTTTTTTTTTCTTTTTTTATTTTGTCAATGCTGCCTGTGTTAGACATGACCAGGTGAAATCTTTCTCATCTCACCTTCAAAGTTTTTATTAAATGAAATATCACAAACTGTGTTCCTTCTCATAGTTGTGTTGCCATTGACTACCGTTTGAACGCCGTGCTTAGAACAGACTACCAATGAAATCTGAGTTTAGTTTGAATTTAGATTTTTTTCCCCTGGTGTTGAAATTCCTTCACAGTTTTTGCTTGTTGTGTAAATGGATCAATTTCATAAACAGATTGGGGGCAAAAAGCAACTTTTTGTGTTTTTCTTTCTGAAAAAATGTAGATGTTTAGTCACTAAAATAGACATTTAAGGAGTTAAAATTCCAAAACATTTGTAACTTTTATTACATGATGAGAACTGAAGTTATAATGATGTTTTAAAAAAATGGTTGATTCATAAAATTTCTCTGTCATTTTCTAAACATAGTCGGTGGCGAAGCGAACAAAGGGACTCCAGAAGGTTAAAGGTGAAAGTTCCAGGTTCATGGAACTGATGGGTGATATGTCCCTGACGTTGCTTTGGAAATCCTAGTGTGCGTACTTATACCTTGGTCTTTACTGTAAGGACAGATCTGCCACTGGAAGTTCCCCTCCCCCAAAACCCCCAATCCTTTCGACACCCAATCGGTTCCTCATTTCTGCCTCCGTCAGCGGAAAGTCAGTTACATAACAGGAAGCGACTTTCTGCTGCAAACAGAGTCATTTTTTACACTGTTTCAAACATGATCCCTGCGGCCGGAATGTTTGTGCGTCGGGTCCCCATGGAGACCGCCGTTGCCCTTTTCACGTCAAAAACAATCAAACATAATTAATGTTGCTGTTGTCCACGGTCTGTTTTGCATCCAGTGAGTGTGTGGTTGTTGGTCTGGGTGGTGGTGGAGCAGAGGGGGCCTTACTGCTCCACCTGGAGGCTGTCCGTCTTACTGCCCGATGCCTTAAAGCTGCTCACCTCTTCGAACACCAGCTCTGCAGACAGGAGCAGCAGGGGGCGAGAGAACATGTTAAAGTAACAGTGAGGGTCTTAGGTACAGACATGTGCATTCATTTTGATTGAATGTCAAACATTTTGTCATATTACAGCCACAAAATGCACATGAGACATCGAACAACTTTCTTTTAACCAAGACTTTCTCCTTGGCCAGAGTGCAAGGTGCTGCCCACTCAAAAGGTGGCGCCAAAGTCACGTCAGATCACAAGGAGAAGAAGAAAATCAACAGATCGCTTGTTTGCACAAAACACAGCCTGGTTCATTTTCACTGTTTTCTTCTGTCACACAGAATTGCAGTAAAGCACGGTAGAGGTTTTGGTCCAACATGACGAAATGTGAAAAACTTCAAGGGATGTGAAAATATTTGCAAAGAAATGGCAAAGCTATAGGACGGATATTTAGTATTATTCAAGGCATGTGAAGAAATTTCATAGCACAATCAAGTAACTGTATCTCAATCTGTTATGAAAAGTCAGAAAATATTGGCGCCTGTCTCTTTAAGAAGCCTTTCCGACACCCATCACAACAATGCTTCTCAGTAATGCCGTTTAAGAGCTCTTCAGAGCCGTTCTTAGGAGCTCAGCAGATCCCCACTTCCACCAGGTGTTGGCTAATTGCTGCTGCCGCTAGTCTAGAGGATCTGTGTGCAGGAGGGTCTGGAGCTCAGCTGGAGAGCTTTGGCTAAAGAGTTGGTGCATTGCATGAACAGGCGTTAGGGCACACCTGACTGGTTGCCATGGGAGATTCAAGGATTCCTCAAATTGAATGAATGAATCACGGCAACACTCCATGTGTTTGATGAGCAATTTTGTAAAACACTGACTTTAATTTTAGGTGTGAATTTGTAAACACCACAAAGATTTCACCTTTCCATTCCTCCAGAGTCCGGTCCTTGCTCTCCAGCGTTTGGTCGTAAGGCGGAGCCTCCGGCTCGTCGTCTGGGTCGTGGTACTGCGAGAAGTAGGGGTGGGCCAGGGCCTCGCTGGCCGAGATCCTCTCATCACAGTCCAGAACCAGCATGCGCTTCAGCAGGTCGATGGCTGCCAGGGCGACAGGAACAGGAAGGTAAGTGGAGGAGGGTTTGGCCGCGGCACACTGACGTTACGGACAGAGCAGCTGGCCTCACAGAAATCAGATCAGACTCTAAATGCTTTTCTGAAAATCTGAGAATGTTGGATAATTGAATCTGAGGTGCGTCACCAAGAGGGTTTGCTCCTCTGAAGATCTTTTCCATGTCTTGTTGGGGCATGAAGGGAAGAGACTGGATGTACTTCTGGGCCTGCAAACAGAGAGCAGCGGTCAGCTTACCGACTGGTCAATGAGCGACTCTGTGAACCGAACGTCTGATCACTCTGATCACACTGCTGTGGATGAAAATAGCAGCAGAGTTTTTATTTCCCCGTCTGTTCCCAGTCGGTTCGTACTCACGTGTTCGGAGCAGATCTTCTTCAGCAGGTCCGGTGTCGGGGTGCCGACCACCTCCATGATTCTCTTCAGCTGGTCGATATCTAACGGCAGGAGGAGTTAAAGGGTTTCCTGTTTCTGCTTTCTGTCAACTTACAGGTTTCAGCTCAACCAACAGAAAAAATGTTGATTCAAATATGATTTCACATATTAAGGTAAAAAAAAGGGGCATTTTAACCAACCTTTGAATAGAAAAATTGGTTTGTGAATCAAAGTCCTGACCCTAACATTCAGAATTGAATTGCTAAAGACTTGCATCTATGCTACAGCACAAACAGCGGGAATATTTCTTAAGAGCCATCCCAGTAATCTGGAAATATTTACGATAGTTGTAAGTGGAAAATCGGCACAAAAACAGGCATCAAAGTCATGCCATGTGAACAAGGCGTTGGATGTTCTGGGTTCTTGTTTGACCATCAGATTGGGGGATGATGTGTTGCTCTTTGAGATCTTTTAGCTGACCTCGGGTTTTCATAACGGATCTGTTTAAGTGATTTCTTGAGGAAGTTGTTTTACACGACGCAGCCTGAGTCTTCATAGCATATTGACACAAACTCTGCAAACAGCTTTCTTTTTAGGCATTGCAAGTTACCCAACTCTCAAAGATCAGACGATATAATTAAATTTAGCTCAGTTCTTCGGATCAGAATAGGAAACTTTAGATAATTCAGCCTTTTGTTGCTGCTGCTATTCATTCCACGTAGTAGCAGAGCTCAGTTTCTGAAAGAGCAAGGATTGTAATGCAAATCCGTGAGAGATCGCCGCGCCTCAGAGAGGTGATGGGAGATTCCTGCGAATTAGAAAGAGGACTCATGCCAAGATGATAAAGGATACAGTCAGTGCCGGGGAACAAGACTTTTCCTTTCAGCAGTTCTCCCATGATACAGCCCACAGACCAAATATCAACTGCAGCAGAAAGCAAAGAGCTTCAGTCAAGCTGTCTGCAATGAGTTCACTTCCTGAACATCCGCTGTGTCAGAGCAGCTCACCATTCTGGTTGTAGTGCATCCAGTTCAGCATGATCTCTGGTGCTCGGTACCAACGTGTCGCCACATACCCTGTCATCTCATCGTCCGTCTGCCTGGCCAAGCCAAAATCAAGTATCTGTTGGGAATGAAAGAAGGTTAAGAAGGTTTCCTCTACGGTCCACGGAGGCGCCAGTAGAAGTCGTAGTGTTGACGTGAATGTGGATCTTACCCTGAGCTCACAGTCTTCGTTCACAGCCACGTTACTTGGCTTCAGGTCCTTGAAGGGACATTAAACACCAGTAAACATCAGTAAATTCAAAACAAATAAGGTCATAATAGGCTGAAGATCCTGATTGAGATTAAATGTAGAGTGTACCCTTAAAAGCTAGCTTTACCGAATAGCTAAAATCTAGGAATACATGAGACCAAAAGGTGCATAGCTCTTTATTTTAATGGTTCAAACACCAAATACACCTTAACATGCATTAATATGCATAACTTGTTAGCCGCCTTGGCACAATGGCAGAAGCTAACATCTTAGCATCGCTCTAGGCAATTCAGCCAATCAGCAGCAAGGAAAGCACATGGCACTCTTGGATTGGCCGAATTCTTAACATCAGCCAACAGTGTGTCGAGTAGCACTGTGCTCGGGTATTTGCTTCTGAAATTGATGCATCTTTCAACTGTTTAAACAAATATTATTCCAGGAATAATTTGGAGTTTCGCTCCACAGAGAAATGTTTCAATCAGCGAATCCTGGAAAACTGAACCATGAATAAACATGAGTATATCTAACACTCATTCCTTATTATGACTCATAAACTGCTCAGGGTCAATTTGCAAAATTATTTTGTTCCAACATCTCACAAATACCAACATGTATCTAGACCAGTCACAATAATCAATAAATCCATTAATTGCACAATAAATTAAAACAAACTCAATCATTTCCATTGGCATGATTTATTGTTTTTCTGTTTTTCTCTCAATTGACCAAAAACTGGAAGATAAAAGTCTTCAGTTTGGTGCTTAACTAGCTCTTTTTTGAAGGACAACTTTGTTTACTCCAACATTTATTTTATTTGTTATTTTTGCATATTTATTTTGGCTATTTAAAATGTCTCCCAGTTCCAGTGTTAAATGTTCATTAGAATTTCAAGTTTATTGATCTTTTAGAACATATTCATTCTATCACTTAAAATGGTCTCAAGACAACAATATTATTGTTTATTACAATAACTTCTGGAAATATTTATCATCCAGCAGAATTTATTGTGAATGGCCTACATGTTGTCGTCTGTTTTACTTGGTAGTGAAGCATTTCTAATGGATTATGGATTCTATTTCACATCGGATTTCAGTTATTATTATTTTTTATTTATTTATTTTTTTATATCGATTTCACCTTCTTTCCATCCATGGGAGTTTCGGTTCCTGTTGGACTGATGGATTCTTGTGGAACTTGAACTTCAGATCAAATCCAAACTATAAAGACCAAACTGCTGCCATCAGTCAGTAATAAATGCATATTTATACTGACTGTAGAATTACTTTTACTTTTAGTAGAATATGAGTTTAATACAACTGCCAAAACACTGTTAAAGTATATATATATGTATATTTAATTTAATTTAATTATAACGTCTAAAATACGTTCAGAAGCTCATTTTCTATGAATCACAAGGAGGAATAAATACAGACTGAAGTAACTGCATGCCTGGCTCTATGAAGGCTGTTTACACAAACAAACAGATGTGACAATAAAAGCAAGAGGAAATTTGTCTGGTTGAGCTCATTTCTTGGGGCCATAAATAGAGCAAATGCTACTGATTAGAAAAGAGGATCTGATCATTTCAGTACAGATGACCTGGGCTGGCATGTTGCCAGGATACCACAACAAACTAAATATCTAATTAGCAGGTTCTTACGATGCCAGGACAGTTTGGTCTGCGCATGTAGAGGCAGGTATTCACTGAGCCCTTCTTGAATGTTGTAGATTTATTATTTTCATTGTGAGGATGTAGCAGAATAAAGATGCAACATTACCAGCAGGAAGCCTCAAAGTGAAGAGAAAGAAAAAAAAAAGTGTAATAAAAAATCTATCTTTTGGTAGAGTTAAGAATCTGATGCGACCAGCTGGTCTAGTCCAAGGTTCTTTCTTCAAACAGACTCAGTGGTTTGAACAATCGTTTCAAAGTCCTGCTACTGATAACAATTTGATGCTGAAGTGTTAAAAGATGAAATGTTTCCTTCTCTGTACAACTGATACTGATGATAACGTCACATATTCAACATTCCTCATTTTAATTTAAAATGACGTTTTATGGATGAATTCTCATATTACGACTTCATTCTCCTAATATCTTGACTTAAATAACATTATGACTTTATTCTCGCTATGTTATGACTACTCTTGAATAATTATGACTTTATTTTCCTACTATTATAACTTAGATCTTTTAGTTAATGTGTTTTTTTTTAAAGCCCGGTCCTAACACTCTGTCCGTGCATTAGCATTCAACCCCCTTTACTTGGACACCACCAAGGAAGGTTTTTGTGAACTCTTACGTTTCCATCGCATAAAATTCGGTCAGAGTCAGCCTGAGGCTTGTGGCTGAGAGAGCAGAGCAGACGGAGCGTCTGGTCCTACATTTAGACGTCTATCTTTTGAGTTTCCCACCAAACCAGGACAAGAAGCAGGAACTCACCCGGTGGATCAGTCCAGCTGAATGGATGTACTGTTGAGCCGGCGGCGGGGTGGGACAGGAGGGCACGGGAGAGAGGACATAAAGGAGGCAGAGGTCAGAGAGCAGCTCACCACATTAGTTTCTCCTTACAGGCAGACTGCTTTTGTCTTCACCATGGTAACGGGCTGAGGCTGAATAGAGCGCCTCTCCACAGCTGCCTGTCCGAGCAGCTGGACTCGGTCGGTTCCTCCAACCTCCACGCTACCTTCTAAACAGAACTATGACTTCCTTCAACACAGAGACCTCAGTCTCCACTGCACTGCTGATGGAGGACAACCAGGTAGCATCCTGGTGATGTATGGAGGAAATGTTACCTTAAGGCCGCGGAGCAGCTGGTAAATGAGGAACTGCACATGCTCGTCCGACAGCCTCTGGAACTTGACGATGTTGTTGAGGTCTGCCCCCATCAAGTTGGTCACCAGGTAGCTGGAAAAGCAAAGATGGACAGGGGTGGGGGAACTGGCGAACGTCACGAGATTTCTGCAAACCTTTAATCCCCTTCAGATCAACCCCTCGTCCATCCACATGCATTAAAGCTGCTACACCTGAACAGCTTGTCAGAAATACCAAGTCAAAACAGATTTACAGCTCGTTGAAGCCTTCTAGTGTCCCCGCCGGCGTGAAGACGTCCAGCAGCCCGATGACCTGCAGAGACACAAGCGGAGACGTGGGCCTGTCTATTCGGGTTGGGGCATTTTGACATTTAACATATATGAGCCGGCGGCGGGGTGGGACAGCGCTGTTTTCACTAACGTTCTCGTGTTTCATGTGCTTGAGAAGCCGGAGTTCGCGGTACGAGCGGCGGCTGTGGATCAGAGACTGAAAGGGCCTGGAGAGTTTCTTCACCGCCACCTTGTGCCTGGAGACCACGTCGTAAGCCGAGCTGGGAGGGAAGACAGACGCAAGAAGCTCTTTTTTCAAATGATCGTTTCATTCACTATGGCAGAAAAAAAATAGCAGTAGCACTGTTTTAAGAAATGGCATGAAACGTGACATACAGATAAACATGACACCTGTTATGAACATGAAGGTTCATGAATGCTTCTGACTGTTGTCATAAAGTGTCATTCAGTAAATAATGACACTTAATGCAAAGATAAATTACTTAATGGACTATGGTTTTTTTCTTTTCTTTAAAGTGCCATTATTTAATGAATAGTGCAAACTTGACACTTTTAATGCAACTTTGCATTAAAAATGTAATTTTTACAGAATTATGCTTCATGACAACAGTCAGAAACAGTCATGCAGATTCCTCCATTCTTCTGACAGGAGCCCATCAAATAAAGTGTCACCAAGAAACCTGTCCAAACCAGCCAGGCCCTGTGTGAAAAAATAATCACACCCCAAACATTATGACTGCTGGTGGAAAGTGGGACAACAGGGAGAAGCAAAACAGATCTGTAAGGGTGTGAAGACTTTTTCACTGGCACCTGAAGGTAGAGATAGGTTCCTGATGGGTGAACCTGGAATCAGCTGGAGCTGAGTGAGTCTGCGGTGGATGGGGTGGATATTGAAGACAAGAGGACGGAGAGAGAGAAAGAGGATGCGGCGCAACAGAGGAAACCAGGATGCAAAGCATTATTCCAGTTCTGCTGGTTTATTTTCTTTCCCCCATCTTCCTCTTTTGAAATGAAAATGTTCTGCCATGTAACAACCGCTAAGCCCCGCTGCAGCCGCCGTTGTTGAGCCGATGTCTGTTCCAGCCTGCCAGCTTCATTTTGACTCACCGTCAATACAGGCATCAGACAGGCAGGAAGGGAGGGAGGGCGAGGGTTGAGAAATGCCAGCAAGCACAGCAGGAATGGAGCGAGAAGAAGTGAAACTTGTAAAATGTGATTATCTAAACAAAACCGAACAGACAACAAGGGAGGCTGAAACGTCATTTCCCTTAAGAAACAAAACAAAGCAGACAAAAAACAGCTCATATAATTTTCTACAGTGTCTTAATGTCCTGATGGTCTGTAATGTGAACATGTTTGAATAAACGGCTGACTGTGGTCCTGGATAACCTGCTGTCATGCCTGATGTCCACACAGAGTCCAGCTGGGACGTCCAGCCCAGTCCATCTGACACCAACCAGGCCTCAGAGACTCACACATACCTTTTTACTCTGCCAGCTTCCATACAAGGGCCTTGGCACTCCACTGTCAACACACACACACACACACACACACACACACACACACACACACACACACACACACACACACACACACACACACACACACACACACACACTGCACTAATAGAAGCCATTGATTTCTGTTCTCCTCTTTTGTTTCAGCTTCTTTTCAACATCCTCAGACTTCAAAATGGTTCAGGAGGCGCAGGAGGAGCAACTACTGTCTGCTGGAAAGAGAACTATTTTTAACCAGGCCTCCTCATCTTTATACATAAAGAAGAAATTTGCATTATTGTTTGCTCATTCATGAAATGAACAAAACACCGACATCCGTAAAAAGTCTTAAATTCACGTAGCTGAAATTAAGACCTTAAAATATCTGTCAGGTTAAAAGCTGCCAGTTCTAGTTTGCTAACTAGTGTAAATTCATCAACTGTTTCCTGGACGACTTGCCTCTGTTTCCAAACCCCCCAGGCTAGATGCACTCTGTGCAAAACAGCTTGGCACTGCGAGGGTTAAGGCTGCAGAGAGCCATATGCCATATGAGAAACACAAAGCTGCTGCCAAGAGCCACAAACAACCTCAAAAAGATCCAGGAAATGTTCTTGGTATATTTCTGTCATATGTGTCTTAACTTTTATTCATAACGGTCTCATTTGAAACCTGCATTAATTCTGCAAGCTACCTTCTGTTGTTTGTGACTCCACTAAATACCAGAAGTAAAGACAATCAAAGAAATTGAAAAAAATATATATATTAACACTGTAACAATATCAGGAAAATATAAATATGATACTATTCCTCAAAATTCTGCTGAGAATTTCAATTTCCTGACTTTTCCCCCCCTTATCATTACAGATCACTATTTGTTAGAAAATCAGGGCGAGATTGATAAAATCAATAAATTATCCTCCAAAATTGCCCTCAATCTAAACAACAACCCAGTTAAAGAATTACAAAGATTTCCACATTACCTTACAATGGCGCTTCTATTAGTTTGACCTTAAACAATTTGACTAAATTTGAGCCCAAAGTATGAATGAAAAAAATCACATTCTCTAAATATCCTTCTTTGCTCAAATGGATATCCATAGATGATTAATATTTGGACAGATATCATACTGTCTGCACTCTCCAAACAGCAGCTTGAAGTATTTATCTTTATAATTGTAACGTTTATGTCTTCTTCACGGCTCTGGTCCATCTGCCGATAAACCTTTACTGCAGTTATATCATTAAAACTCCAAACAAGGTCAAAGAAAACTGAACTCATTTCTTAAACCAGTTCAGCATATATTTAATCAATAATTGTGGCAAAAACATAATAAAAACGAAGAAATACATTTAATTAATAGATACTCTGGTTCAAACTCAGTCTCTGTCTGACTTAATGTTTTAGGAGGAAAAGTAAATATTCAGTTTGTTCACAGCTTCATGACATGAAGCTGAAAAGACAAGAATACTGAATTAGAAACAGATCATAACAGCTTGCAGCCCTTTAAAGTTTTTGTCTCGCAGCTAATCAAAATTCGAGAAATGGTGCATGTTTAATTATTAAGTGTGTTTTAAATTTATAACAATACTTCCTGTGGCACACAGGCTCTGTGCTTCTAAACTATCACTACATCCAATTCTGCATCCTGTCCTTTTATTCCTCATCGAGAAGGTGGAACATATTCTTCAGCTTTTGTTTCGGCGAGTTTTATTAAATATCCACATCCTTGACCTGTGGTCAGCAGTTTTTATTGGGTTTCGAGAACTACTTGTTCCTTTATTTTGATAAGTGACAAGAGACATCACTGTGTCCCCATCACTTCTACGTTTTGCACCCCCCGACTCCCATCCCCCTTCTTGTGTTGGTCAGACCTTACCATGAGAAAATTGGTGACAAAGGCCAGAGATCAAAATTAGAAATGCAAAGAAGCTAGGATAGAGTTCAATTATATCCCTGACACAATAGTTCTTCTCCCATATTTACTTGGACATGTTGAAAAACTCCACAGCAAGTGCATCACACTTTCCATCCACTGCAAAAGCATTTAGATATATACTGAAATATTAGGATAAATATTGAGCAAGCGCATTACCTAATTTCATGCAAAACTATGCAAACTCTGAAGACTCACTTTCCCCTCTGGATAACACATTCTTGAAAATAAAAGTGAAACTGACAGTATGAGCAATTTTCTGATTTATTGCATTAATCTTGTGACCCTTGAGGTCATCCACAGAGCATTAACATTTCCTTCCCATAGAGTCAGCTGAGCCTTCACAATGGAGAAAAGTGAAATAGTGACATTACAGCTAAAGTAATGTACCCCACCTTTTATACCAAAACACAAACACACACAATTCAATCAGTAGCACATCAAAATGGACAAATATATTTTAAAGATGTTACATGGCTTGATATTCAACAAGGTCTGCCTCATTTTAACCCCACGTAGCATGTTTTTAAATATGCTAATATACACAATAAGACAGGGAGCGGTGTGAAAGAACTCCAGAGATTTAAGTGACACAACTCTATAGCCATTAGGATTTAACCTATTTAGAAATATGTTTAGGTTTTATCAGCAATGAAATAACATGTGAACATGCATCATTTGAATTGAGTTGGCTGACATAGGTAGCAAAACTATTTTAGCTAGCTAAAAGCGGTGGGATGGTGGAATAATCCAGCTAAAACCAATTTCTTGGCTGAAATCAAACGCATTAAGCAGTATAAAAATTGGAAAAAAGCTTTTTTATTACAATTAATTGCTGTATTAACATATCTAAAGACTTGATTAAAAGGTAGCTAAGCTTCTGAACAGTTTAAAATGATCTGGCTAAATTGATGCAATAAGCTAAAGACATTTAAAAGGGTATAATCTTTCTAAACTATTGGTTTGAAAAGATAACTCAATTATGATTAAAACATAATCATAATTGAGGGGTTTGAGGTTGGTTAAAACAATATTAGCATGGCAAGCTAGCAAATGCTACAAATTGCTAGCGTACACCAACAGAACTCCCAACGTTTTGGATAAAACTAAAGTATAAATCGTCAGAAATAGAAACTTCTCAAATACAATTTTTGAAAGTACAAAAATAAATTTAAACTCGTACATTTATGTAAATTTAAATGTACAAAGGAGTAAAACATTTTTTTTTTTAAAAAAACAGTTTGATCCAACAATTAATGATTATTAAAATCTTACACGAAGTTATTGCAACTATGATTATAATCATTGCTAAAATGACATGTTAATCCAGAAACATATGATAAATCTGAGATTAGCAAGATTTATTTTAATAATTCAGAAGCGTCTCAAGATTGTAATGCAGACTTTTACGTTATGACATCTATCCTGATGTCTGATAAAGACTAGATAGAGTCTTTTCCATAGTTTAACCTTTTGTCACAACCAAATGAGTTTTACTGCTACATAAATACACAAAATGGTCATACTCTTAAGATAAAGTCATAAAAACAAATTACGTCTGCTATAATTCAAGTGTGTAAATAAAACTAATTACGTTCCATTTGATATAGAAATATGCAAACATATGTAATATGGTCTGCTGGTTTCAGTAAGGAGCACCCGAGAGTCTGCAGTAAAACAAAAATGGTTGAAAGTGCTGCACTGAAACTGTATTAATCTCAGTATTAATTTCTATACTACTCCTACACTATATTTACTGTTGCTGGTAAATAAAACAGCCTTTGCAACTATAATCGTCCTTTTTTGTTACTAGAGAAGAAAAAACTTTCTATCCCTTGCAATGGGTAGCAGTAGCGGTCCCATGGTCACATTTTAATCCTGGGATTGTGTTCCCTGAATGCTAAACAGCCTTTGGCAACATATTATTTTTGTCCAAGAAGATCAGATCCACATTGAGCAAACCGCTTTCATTCTGCAACTTTGAGGACAAAAAGACATGTCTGACGAACTTGTGCTGCAAAAGAAAGACTTCCAGAGACAGATAAACTGCAGCAGAAGTCATGATCCAGCCATACATTTTTAATCTGCTGCTATTCTGAGCACAACTCTGAAAGCTGCAGAATTACGAAGCAAACAGAGAAGCGTGCCAACGATCAGATATGACAGACTGTATTTTTACTGAAGTCATGCTAGCAGTTTGTGAACTGTTGGGATCAAAGCTGCTGTTTTAGCATGCAGCTACGGGATTCGTTAGGTGTGGCCATACAGCCTGAGTTTGTGTGTAATCTGACCCAATCCATCATCCCACACTGTGGAATCACAGGTCCTGTTACACTAATGAAAGTACTCTTTGAAAAAAGATCCTTTAAATTAGGACTGGTGGGGTCATCCTGATTCAGTCCAGAGGATAGAATCACATCTTTAAAAGAAGAGAGGAGAATCAAGTGCTAATGCCCACATATCTCTAAACATTTTCACATTTTTCACATTACAAGCACAGATTTAAATGTGTTTTATGGATACAAGATTTCTTTAAAAATCAAAACCTGAAAAGTGTGGCATGCATTCACAATCTCCAAAACTCAATGCTGAACTTTGATTGGGCCATTTGACACATTAAAGTAACCTCACCTGGGTTTCAAGACTGTTTTAGCCTCTAACATACTTTTATCCAGGATGGCCTTGTAGTTACCTCCCTCCGTCTTCCCAAATACTATGAGCAGCTCCCCCAAACCCGCTGAAGAAAAGCCCCCCAACAAGATGCTGCTGCCACCGCCATGTTTCACTGTGAAAATGAAAAAAGTCCAGTTGTACACCAATGTTGCCGTTTGCTGTGTTCTCCACATGGCTTGCAGTAAACTACAAACAGGTCTCACCACTTTTTACAAAACGTTTTTCTGATATAAAAAGCAATTTTTTGTGAAGTTTACAATGTTTACTTATCCCATAATCACATTCCCTCACTGCCTGGGATCTGGCCACCCCGGCAGAACATTCCTGGGGACGCCACTGGCTTTACCACACCTTGGAGTTCTGTCAATTTGGTGTTCTTTCAAAAGAAATTTTGTTTTTTATATTATTATTCTTAAAACAAGAACATAAAATCCCCCTTTTCTTCCTTTAGGTAGGCTGCTGGTGTAGCTTTACTGAACACTGTTCAAGGAGTATCACCCAGACACATTGCCATGGCAACGACATACCACTAGCTAATGAAGTATTTGCCCAAATATGAAGCAGCTGCAAGGTTTACAGGGCAGGAAACAAAGAGTGTGTGCAGGTGGCAAAGCAAAGAAAGTGCTGGATGATGATGATGATTTTGGGGGCGATGGGAATGATGATGATGATGATGCAGGCAGCTGGATTCCTGAGGATCAGCCAGGCTGTGATGCTCAGGCGGACCTGCAGGGATGCAGCTGAAAATAAGAGGCTCTATCAGGGCATGTATGGGACCAGGAGGGAATTTCATTTCATTCTTGAAATCCCCTTCGTGCACTAGCAGCTATTTATCTTTGTGAGCAGTGATAGTTTACGCTTTCCTGAAATTAAAGGAATAAAAGCAGAAGGTCCAGATCAACGCTCATGTCTGCTGCTGGACTTCCAGTAAACGTTGTGGCGGCGAAGCCTCGCCCCTCCAACACTCACCACACCGTGCCGTAGGCTCCAGAACCCACCGGCGTCAGGTTCTGGTACCGCTCCGGAACCTCCCATACGGTCTTGTTCAGCTCCTGCCGGTAGAATCCCGGTCTGGCTGACATGTTGTTTTGTTTACCGGCTTCAGAAAAGGAAGAAAGGAAAGAAAAGAGGTGGAGGAGCAGAGCAGAGCCGAAAATAGGTAGATATGGACCGCCGTCTTCTGCCCGAGCCGAACTGCTGCTGCTCCCCGGACAGACAGACAGTCAGCGCCTCTCTGTCTCACCCTCCCTGACTTCCTCACTCTCCCAGACACCGCCCCCAACCCCCACCAGTCACTGTTATATTATATTATATTGTATTATGTTATAATGATGTTATGTTATATTATATCATGTTATGTTATGTCATATTATATTGTATTGTATGGTATTATATTATATTGCTGTTATGTTAACTAAAGGAGCCATTGTCTCGAAAAGTCACTCAGTTGTGACGTGATTCTCAATCTTAGCATTCTAAAGTATGTTAGTAGTAAAGCACTAACATTAAAACTGTCTGATGGTTCTACCAGAACCGAACAAAAATTTAGCCCAAAAAACAAAACAACCAAAAAAGTATTACTTCATCATTAATCAAAAAATAACATAGGTTACATAGGACATATTATATCATATTATGTTGTGTATATTGTATTGAATAAAGAGTCGTTTGTGGCCAGTAGGGGGCACTAGTTCGCTAATCAACTCCACCGTTCAATCATCAAATGAGGTAAAACAAACAAAAAGCATACAAGTTTCTAAGGTTACACATTCTACAAAACTCTATATATAAACTCCCAAAAATCACAAAATAACCAGGTAAATCCTGAAGTCTGAACAAATCAGTGTGTCTTTGTTTTCAGTTTTATCTTTGATAATAATTTATCATTTACAATTTCTCCAGATGCATAACATCATGTAAAAGTCTAGATTTTCTGCCTGTAGATTTATATCTGAAAGACCTTTTGGACCTGATTTTAATTAATTGCTGTTGCACATGATGAAAGATTAATATGGGCCAAAAGGTTATTATACGGAACCGGGGGAGAATACAGTTTCTGTCCATGTCTTACAGTGAAATAGTTCAGGAAAAGGTATTATTGGTTTGTGTGCCACTATGCCACAACTCAGCATATCAGCTAAACCCAGTGTAGACAGACTGGATCTTTGCTGCTAAGTCTCAATAACTTTGCTGGTGTGTGTTCTCCAGGAACTGCTGCAGTGGAGATATTCATGTTGTCCTTATTTCCACTAAGAACATCCTGGTCACAGTCTCCATCGGCAACCATTTCTGATAAGTTCCCTTTTGTTGCGCATTCTGGGAGAATATATACCTTTAAAGAATCTATTGTGCAGTCAGAGGTGGTGTTCCTGCAGCTCTGGTATAAGTCATTAAGGAAACTGAGGATGCTGCTGCTGATTGATTTCTGGTATTTTGACCTGGCGAAGCTAAAATATTGCATCTTCCAGGGTTTGATTGTAAACTAATCAGGGACAATGACCAGATGTAATATCAAACTTTCTGGTGGTCTTTGTCAGTTAGGGCAGACTGTATTTGGAAGAACATCGTGATGCACAAAAGGTCCCGTTTCAAACGTAGTGTAAATGGATCTGGATCAGAAAACCCAAGACAACGCAGACTCTTGTCAAGTCTTCCAATAAAGCCATTCACAGAAATCCCAAAGACATTGGTTTTGGTCTCAGTCACTTGAACTTGAGTTTTTTCTTTAACAAGGACCCTGGCATTTGGTAAACCCACCCAGCTGGGGAAGCTTTGGTCTGTATTCTGTGTAAAATCTTGAAATGTTGTATATTCAATTTCAGAGACGTGATGGTGTGGCATGTTGCCTGTATCATTAGTCGAGGTAAGTAGGACACCTCAGGATGCTGGTAACTTTCTGGGTCACATACAGCTGGATGCCAATATCCACTGTGTCATTGGTGGAGCAGTGGGTGGAGAGACCAGCTGAGTAATCCATCATAACATTGTTATGATGGATTATAACACTGTTACAATCCATCATAACAGTGATGGATTGTAACTGTTATGTTACAGTCCATCACTGTTATGGATGGATTGTAACATCAGGGAGAATGGTGCAGTCTGCCTGGTGGCTCAGCCGGTCTATTTAGTCCAGAAGTAAAGGAAATACAGCTGGACTGTCGTCACATCTAGAACAGAACTAGTGCTTGTTGGTTCTGACCCGTTTCCATTGTGAAAACAGCTGACCTGTGTTTGTGGTTTATCAGACTCACTACTACAGAAAAAGTCTGAATGCTGCCGGTTTAAGGGTTTGACTAGACTAGATGCAGTCAGATTATTGGAGCGTGTTAAAATATTTCTTCCTCTAATAATTTTTGTTTCTGATTGATTAAAATATATCTGTCGTTTTAAATGTGAAAAATAGTTTTAAAGGTTTTCTTTTTTGAGAACTATATGTGCCAAATACACTTTCCTATTTGTTGAGGCAGCTGATTGACTAATAATTAATCATAACAAGAATTTAAACTGGAATCCTCTTTTTTTATATATATTTCTGGCCTTATTGAAACATTTTCTAGTTACTCATGGAGTTTCTGTTTAATTTTTCAGCTTCCAGGGCCTCCAAAATGATGGAAATCTAACAGTAGGGGGCGTACTGTTCCCATGTTTTGGATGTGATTCGAAATATCAGGATGAGCCTTTCGTATAAAAGTAACTTACAGGCCACTTCACAGCCAGGAAGGACTTTTCTCAGCAGAACCCCGAGTGGTAATAAACTGATTTCACCTGCAGATGGTCATAATGTTATGGCTGATCAGTAAAGATGACAAACATCTATTTTTTTTACTTTCCTTCAGTGAGTCAGATTCAGGGAAAGTTTCTGTGATGTGTTCAAGGACAGCATGTACTGCAGATGCCATTACAACATCACATTGAACAGCCAGTAAGGTGTTTATCACTCACCACAAACATGATTTATTAACTGATAACATTTCCAGCCACCTTGGATCTTTGTCATGTTTGAACGATCCGATAGTCACGCCTTCTATTGTCTTATCCCATGTGGCAAATTGGAAATGATTGTTTATCATTAGTAAATGAAGGTACTGGGACTCACTGCAGATGAATTCAGTACAACCAGTAATTATCTTATTTCTTCATGTGAACCTAAAGAATATTTCCCTGAAGTGCAATATAAAAAAAAAAGTAGATGCATAATAAAAAACAACTTCAAGGTCATATTGTCAATATCAATTTAATTGGGAAATAGAAAAAAAATAATTAGAGTTTATAATATGAATACCTGGTAGACCAAACTTGGGTTTAAATCCTGAACTGATTTCCTGCAATGCCTTTATTTGAAATAGCAATAATAAAATCCTGATTCACAGGGTGAAAATGTGTTCTCATGTTGGGTTTCCCCCTCATCTTATGATCACCTTGTATTCTCCCTGCACTCATATTTACAACATTTGAAACCAGAAACCAGAAGTCCTACAGTTTAAAAGAGTCTAATCCCTGTTTGATCTATTGATCTAAACTGTTAAAAAGTTACTTTATTAACTTCAAGTCTAATATTCAGCAGAAGACATAGAAGAGCAAAGAGTAGCAACACAAGCTTTGTTGACTAAAGGGAAATTTCCATTGTGCAAAACTTGAGCTTTTACAACAGCATCATTTGGAAAGCGGGTTAAATATTATTGTGTATGACGAGTGTGAGCTGATATCCTGTTCCAGAGCCAGAATTGCCTGAATCAGACTGACACAGATAAGACGGAAGCTGTTAAAATAATTATCTTTTGGTATCATTCTTACATTATTAGTTTTAAATTTGTGTTTCATTTAAAGGTAGTGTTCTAATTTGTTAAACCTGTGCCAGACAAAACTTGCTTTTTTTCTTAACCTTGGACATGCAGCTGTTTTCCTATTTACAGGAATACTCCTTACTTGTGAAACTACCTGTGTGTTGGACGTTAGTTCCTGTGTTCCTTTTTCCTTGTTATCGGAATAGACCACTTTCTTTGATTTATTACCCCCACATTCCTTTTACTCCTGCTTTGCTTTGTGTTAGTAAGAAAGACAAGCGCTGAAGCAGAGTCAGAACACATGTTGAGCTGTTCGAAAAAGCAGTTTTTCTGTCTTCTCACTTTTGCAAAAGACTTGACTGAAAACTAATAAACATTGTCTGTTTATTAGACATAAACCTATTTTTAGGTTTATGTAAAAATAGGTTTTTACATATTTTTTACATATATGTAATATATATTGTATTTAAATATATATAAAATATCTATTTTTATATACACTATACTATAGTACTATACTATATAAAACATAGTACTATGTTTTATATATATATTTATTTATTTTAAGTAAATATATATATATATTTACTTACTTTTATGTAAGTAAAATAGGTTTACTTACATAAACCTATTTTTATGTAGGTTGAGAAAATACTAATCAGAAGGAAAGTGGGACTTGTCAACAAATTAGAAACTGTACAGTAGAAACATGAATAAATAAATAAATAAATAATAACAAAGAAGAATTTGTTTTTAAAGTAGAGTTGCTGGTTCTACAAGTTCAAGTTTCACTAAAACTATTGTGGGACAACCTAGAATAAAGCATCTGTTTATTTCTGCTTGCTTCTCAACTATTTTAGAACATTCTTTGATCTTTGAGAACGTCTTAGCATTTTACTGGATGTTGCACTTAGTACTATCCTTTTCTAAAAGTTAAATGGCTTATCCTGGCATTTTCCACAAACTTCTGGAATATTTCATTCCAAGTTAACAACCAGAATGAAGCTGAAGTTGGTTTCCAATTCAAGCTTCTGTTTCAGAAAATGGCTAAAGGGCAATTCCACTTAGTTTTTTATTACCTTCCATTGTGACCGAGATCCAAAAAAGTGGTGAAATCAACCTTTACTTCAGTTTCACATATCAGAAAAAGGTTTTACAAATCCTAAATATTGTTCTAAATATTCAATTATTAGTTGAGAATAATTTAGTCTAGGTTTTAAGTGTCTAGGTATTGTAGTTTTGGAATTGGAGCAGATTTTAAAAAAGGGGGTAAAATCAATCTTTACTGAAGTTTCACAAATCAGATAAAAGTTTCACAAATCACAAGTGTGGTTTTAAATATTCTGCTACTAGAGCAGAATAATGCAGTCCAGGTTTGAGGAGTCTAGGTGTTGTAGTTTTTAAACTAGAGTCGACAAAACTGCGGAACGTAAT